TTTTCAGTCAGTTATCGACAGATATGCCTACCTAAACACACGGAAATGTTTTCAAAGGTAAAGTTTCGAAATCGTTGAAATAACCTCCTTATTAATGAAGTTATGAGTTTACATTTCGACTTTGTAAATTATCCTGACATGATAATCAAAAAGAGATGATATTTGACCAAAACCCATAATCATGGGTAGAGTGGACCGCAACAGTGTCTCTCTCTCTCTCTCCCAAACAAAAGGAAACGATTTAATTTGAATAACCGTCCGCACATGCAAATTGATACCGAGAATGAAATCGGTCGTTCGCTTTTCCCATTCATTTACAATTGTAATAGATTAAGAAGAACTACCCGAAAGCAGCTGTACTCTGCAATAAAGATTGAATAAACAACAGTTAATTGGACACTAACTACCACCCTTATCCCGAAATACTAGGTATCGACCCGAAAGCAACCCAAAGAAATTGTAACTTTATTACATTTACAATTCGTAAGCCGTGAATGAATGGGAAAAGCAAGCGACCGATTTCATTCTCGGTATCAATTTGCATTTGCGGACGGTTATTCAAATTAATATCATTTCCTTTTGTTTTGGAGAGAGAGAGAGAGAGAGACACTGTTGCGGTCCACTCTACCCATGATTATGGGTTTTGGTCGAATTTAGTATAAGCTAAATTGTATTAGAGCATTGCTAATACATCACTTACGAAAAATGAAGTACAAAAAGTAAAGTACTAAGGATCGAGTGGAACGATTATTGTCTATTTTAAAGACTTTACGAACATCTGATAATCATAACATTGAAAGTAAATGCTCCGAATCATAGTGCTACGCATGCTGAGACTCAAGATCGAGCCTCTAATTGTAGTTCTGCTCGGCACGCATCATATCAGGTGTGGAAATAACAAAACAAAGCGGAGAAGTTAAGAAAAGAGCAGAGAAGTTGATGAGGAGAAAGGAGAAGTTGGAACAAAAGGGAGTGTGGGCAGACCTTACTTGAACGGACATTAATTGAACGCTGGAGGTCCTAGCGTGTAGCGTTCATCTTAATGTCCGTTCAAATAAAGTTCGTCCGTTTAAGGTCCGTCCAAGTTAAAGTCCGTTGAGATTTTTTCCAAAATTATTCCACTGCGAACTCATTTAGGATATGACAACTTTTTAGTTTCAGTCAATTGTAATTTCTATCATCGGATTCGGACTAAACTATATCATTGGATCAATGAAAAACGAGTTATTATTGATTATACAATTTAAATAGTCTAAGTATCACTTCTTCGGAGTTATTATTTACCTCCGCATCTTTTAAAAGTTTACACTGAAATGCAGGACCGAGGTGGTCGAATACAGAATTGTTTTCAAAAAGCAGGTATTACTGATATGATGCTTTAAGCATGGAATATTTAATGCACGATATCCAATCCCATACATTTGAGGAAGATGACCTGTGATATGATCATCAAATCTGGTCATATTTCGTATCTGTTGTTTTTACACAACAACACTGATCTACAGATATTTTGATATTTTTTACTGCTTAACGACTGCCTTTCTTGCTCATTGTATGATAAATTAATTTACAAATTATCTGCTAAAATTTTAAAAACGCCAAAAAAAAAGATGAAAAAATTTGGATTTTTGATGGTTCTGAATGCCTTCGAGCGTTCATTTTAATGTCCGTTCATAATTATGTCCGTTCATTTAATGTCCGGTCAAATAAGGTCCGATAAGGTAGAGCATTGCTAATAAATCACGAAAAATGAAGTACTAAAAGTAAAGTACTAAGGATCGAGTGGAACGATTATTGTCTATTTTAAAGACTTTACGAACATCTGATAATCATAACATTGAAAGTAAATGCTCCGAATCATAGTGTTACGCATGCTGAGACTCAAGATCGAGCCTCTAATTGTAGTTCTGCTCGGCACGCATCATATCAGGTGTGGAAATAACAAAACAAAGCGGAGAAGTTAAGAAAAGAGCAGAGAAGTTGATGAGGAGAAAGGAGAAGTTGGAACAAAAGGGAGTGTGGGCACTAACAATGGAACATGAAGGCTCGGTGTTTGGTAGGTAGTGTTTAGAAAGTATACAGAGTGACTATATACAAATATATATATTATATATATTTTATAGATCAACAAGCTAGGTGTAGTAAAGTAGTAATATGTACATGTCAATTTTATTTTACTTACGGCTTATATTGAGCTGGCTCTGAACTACCGTTGATGTTATCGTTATCGTATAATATTGTGTTCAGCATTTTCCTCATCAGGCTTGAGCAAGGAGAAAGTTGTATTTGATCAGTAACGGTAAAATTTAAGAACTGAAATAACGAACGAAAAGATCGGCAGTTGCAATGTGAACAGACAGGATAATGATTTAAATTAAATAGTACTACTACTAGACGTAATAAATAATAAACATAGACTGGAGCAAAATAGCGCGCGTAAACAGAATAAGAACAGCTACAGCCAATACCACCAAGAAAAAAAGTTCAAATATTTGAATTAGGGGCCATCTACTTAGGACGTCCACCAAAATCGCAGATTTTCAGACCAGCCTCTCCCGGCCCTGTCCGGGATCACCAGCTACTTTTAAGAGTATCAATAAAACCAACTCAAATTCATTGTTAATAAAATGTGTAGTTACTTAAAATAGACAATAATACATTTAGTGTCGAACAAGTTTAGCACAGTTACATTTAAGTACATTTAAGTACTCGTTCAAAGTACAGGGATCTAAACTTACAGAATAATTAGTGTCAAAGAGTTGAAATAAATGGGACTTTTTCGTTAATTCTGCCAAAATTTCCGGACGTCCGGATTTTCAGAAACCACCCCCCCCCCCCCCCCCCCCCTCTGTACGGATTTGTCCGAAATTCCAAAACCACCCCCTCTATATTTGCCGGAAGTCCCAATGGCAATACTAAGTACAGGGTGTACCGTAGAAAGTGTGACTTTTTTCCACTTCTGTAACTTTTTACAAAGTCAAACTTCATAGTTATTTTTAACTAAATTTTGTTGGAAATATATTTGAATTAATGATAGTAATAAAAAAAATTGTTAATAATTAAGAATTTGCTCAAAATATCCACCCTTCTTGGCAAGTACGTATTGCAGTCGACTATTTAAATTGTTTATTGCCGAACTAATTTGAATTTTTCCGATCTTCCGGCACTCCCTCCTGATGTTCTGTTTGAGTTCCTCCACTGTTCTTGGGTAAGGGTTGGTGTAAACCTTTGATTTTAAATACCCCCAGAAATAAAAATCGAGAGGATTCAGATCTGGGCTATATGGGGGCCATAGGAATTTCGAGTTCCTGGAGATTAGCCTCTCCTCATCAAACCTCTCTGTCAGCCAGTCAATGGCGAACCGACTGCAATGATGCGGTGCCCCATCTTGTTGGAAAGTACATTTTTTAAAGTTGCCCTTCCTTTTCAGAGCTGGTATAACCTTTCCTTTAATCAACTTTATATAATTATCTGTTTTTATTGTCTCCGCTACCCCCTCCTTGTCCTCAAAGAAATAATACACCCTGTATATGGCCCCTTAGCCAATTTAAACTGGAAACCAGATGTTAAGAAGCAAATGGTAAGTGAGCAATGCGATTGGGGGACTTATCGATACCCAAGGGCAAGATGATGTGATTTTCGGAATTCGCCCTCCCGACCACCGACGTTGCTGCATAACATAACCCAAAAATTAAGGCCCTCCTAGTCCTAGCATCTGAAGAGATCAACGTCAAGGAGGACAGAGGAGTTCCTTGACGAAACCTTGTCTACAGGGAAACTTATATCCCCTATTAGTCTTACCCGGAAGAAACCGCACCGTTATTTACAATTTAGAATTAGGCGAAGTTTAAAAAGCTAAAGGTCTGGTATCTAAAAGGTCCGAATAAGTTGGCACAAAAGATATTAAATCCGGGACTTTGTACAGGTTTGTTGTGTGTTCGAATAATTTAATCATAATCCAGGAACACACAAATACACGTTTCGCGCCGCAAACAGCAAACACCGCTCAAATTTTGCTAAAGAATCGCGTGGGTGCAGGTCCGGCAACGCATACAATTTTTAATTTTAAGACCATACATTTTATTTTGGCCCCTGAAATTTTATTATCAAGATTTCGGCACCTGTAGCAAATGTCCGAAAGTATTTTGGTCTGGTGATTAACGTTTCGCTGAATCCGATAATTTAAGCTTTGACACGATTTAAAGCACAATTGTGGAAGTTAATTTTCCGGAGAAATTGCGTTGAAAGGTGGAAAACCATATTATCACTTTATTCATTTCTGTCCCATTTTCAAGTATTGAAGATGAAATTTCGTATACCAAAATTTCACAATTCTGTCCGAATTTCCTCTAGTGACTAATTAGCGATTAGTTAATGAACTATGAACGCCATTCAACACAATTAAGGTCCTGGAAGTTTGTTTCCGACCGCAAAAAGCATATTATATCAGAGGAAATGTTAGGTGTCCAATACGGTAAGTTAAAGTAAAAGGTTTTTAATAAATTTGACACGTTACGTGCCCCTTTTATTTTTCTGTGCGCGATGAAATGGACATTGGACATGATGACAATCGTCAATCAAATATAAATGTGCTGGTTTACACCTAGTCCTACTATCTTACACAACCGAATCTCGAGCATTTTCTAGAATATAAATTAGCAATTAGGCCAAATCAGAACTTTATCATTATGACAATCGAGAAATGTACTACAGTATCGTATATTTTATGTGAGTGCATTTATATTATCTTATCTCATGCATGTCCGGGTGTTATTTTATATGCAAGGCTTTGGTTGATCTCACAAATTGTCATTTTATTTTACCCGCGGCAATCTTATAAGGGTTTAGATGCTGGTAGTAAGTATAACACGGTTTAAATTTCCCTAGGTGTTCCTGCATACCTCTAATTATTGAACTTGCTTAACGCAATATAATCCTATCTGCTATCAGTACAAAGCCTGATCTGCTTACTAAGGCTTCTAACTGTGCTCCTGTTTCAGGTATTGGTTTAATGCTGCTGCAGACTGATAAGACTGTCACTGAGCATGGTTTAGCAAGACAACTTTCTTATCATGTGGACTGCGGAATTCCTTATCAGTCAGAACGGCTTATCTAACCCGCTCACTTCTAGCTTACTTAATCCATCTGTAGTACTAGTAGTGCCACTGGTGAGTACGTCTGCTTATCTCGCTCTTTCTCTTGTTTAAACTTTGTTTATGTTTGCCAAATCTCGTACTTATTCTAGCAGTAGTTTAGTTGCAACATATTTAATAATTATCCAATCTCTGTCTACGGACCATCTGCACTAGTTTCCTATAGTGCTGATAGTCTTTCTTTTTTATGGCACTTAGCACTGATTCTTAATGTCGGCCAAGTACCTTACATCCCCGAAAAGTCGTGAACACTAAGTGCACATGATAATATTAATTAAAATTGTACGCGTGTCTTTAGGACAATGGCATATTATTAAACGCAGCTATGGATGAGTCGCTTTGATGTTGCCTTGATGAGCAGCCCGTATCATATTACTTCATTCTTTCTAAGAAACCTTCGTTCATTTTTAACAAAATACTTGGACTTAATTTCGTGCGACGCGATAGCCCTCAACTACGTTCGGGCATTATCGCCGTATCGCGCTCAGCATTTTTACAAAGATTTCAAAAATTTCAAAACAATAGCTTTTTAGTAAACATGTTCGACGCCCTCGGATTTGAAGAACTTTGATTTTACGGCTATTTTTATTATTTCTCTAAGAAGGGTCTCGGAAAATGGAACGACAAAACGGCAATCAAACTGTTTAAAACGTGTAAAATGTAAATCCTATAATATGTTACATGTAGGAACCCGACCGCTTGTTATTTATATAGAACTATAATAAACTTAAGTGTTTTGCACGCTTGAAAGCAATTGCACAACTAGACATTTGTCAGATGATCATGCCACTTATTATGGTTTCGAACCTGCCACGCTGGTTGGCACCGGTAATAACACTACCGGTTGCTTCTTATCTTATCTCGATCCCAAAATGCATGCTTGTTGTTCTGCGTTTGCACGTGCTTTTGGTTAGATCTAATTACTGTAAGCTCTTCCGATGCACTATAAAAACACTGTTTTAGCACAGTGTTTATTCTCAGTTCCTAGACCTCAGAACTACAAATTTATTTAATGGCCGGCTGTTTTAGCGGTACTTTCCAGACACTGATTTACCGATTAGGATCGTAAAATTAATTCAACTATATTTTTCCGGAATAATCTAATTAAATCAATCGTTTTTTCCCATTAATCTGTGTGTGGTCTTATCATACTCAGTGGGCCATGTAATCTTCGCCCTGATGAGTCACCAACTTAATGATCACAGTACGATCATTTAATCATGCTCCATTATATTGATATCAAGTTACTAACAAAATGTGGTTTTATCAATACAGTGACGGTTGTTCGGGAGCACGATCTTATTCGTATCGTTCTATTCTCTTGGTACGTGGCATTGCATACCTAATCTTTTATATAAATTTGCACGGTAAATGCTAACCGAAGTACGCATGATCTTAGCTGTTCACCATTTGAACAAAATTTTAACCATTCAAAATTTTCAAAGTCCTGTTAGATTTATTTGTTAGTTGATTCATAGCTTTGACACAGTACACAGTACGCCGCGCAGTACACAGTACACAGTACACAGTACACAGTACACAGTACACAGTACACAGTACACAGTACACAGTACACAGTACACAGTACACAGTACACAGTACACAGTACACAGTACACAGTACACAGTACACAGTACACAGTACACAGTACACAGTACACAGTACACAGTACACAGTACACAGTACTCAGTACACAGTACACAGTACACAGTATACAGTACACAGTACACAGTACACAGCACACAGTACACAGCACACAGTACACAGCACACAGTACACAGTACACAGTTCACAGTACACAGTACACAGTACACAGTACACAGTACACAGTACACAGTACACAGTACACAGTACATTCACCGTGAGACAAAATGCAATACATCAGAACATGGTTTAAAAGTAAACAATATGTCTTGCTCGATACGTCAGACTCCCAGTAAACAGGGTCAGTGTTTCCTTATTTTGTATCTTAGTACTTAATATAATCTTAGTACTTAATATAATCTTAGTACTTAATATAATCTTAGTACTTAATATAATCTTAGTACTTAATATAATCTTAGTACTTAATATAATCTTAGTACTTAATATAATCTTAGTACTTAATATAATCTTAGTACTTAATATATATCTTAGTACTTAATATAATCTTAGTACTTAATATAATCTTAGTACTTAATCCGCAATAACCGCATATATATATAGTTGCAAAAGTGCAATTATGTTGCTATTAAAGGTTTGTTGAGTATGAAAAATAGCTGCAGACTGTTTATAACCTTTTTATCTTAGTACATAACTTAATCTGCATATCTGTATAGAGTGTATGGTTGCAAAATTGTTATTATAAGCTTAAAACTGCTCTTAAATGCGAATAATTGTGTCATCTCGTCGCGTTTTAACTCTGAGGAAATAATTTTAACAACTCAATTAAAATTAAGGCTACCGGACAACTGAACCAATTTGGACTTTTCCTGGACAGGGTAGCTTGGGAAAATAATTATAACCCCTAGTTAACTTTGAAACGACAACTGACCCACTCGTCACTAGAAATCTAGATATATATTTAGATGTATTTCAATTTGGGTTTAGTTGTCATATTTGTAATATGACCTGGGTTCATTTGTCATATTATTGGGATTTTGGCTTATAGTTAAAGGGTACCCAATTAAGCTGATTGGGTACCCTGTTAACTATGTGGGAACTGGGTCCAATTGGATTCAGTTGTCGGTCACCTCTTTGCTTCCGTCCTCTCCCGTTTTATCGAGAGATTTCTGTTTTCGCTCTCTTCAGAACCTAGGATTATTATTACGGGTTTTCTAGAATCTAGTATACTACAATTGATTACAGCTGGTTTTCTTTCTAGTGTGCTTACTGCTTCAATTGCTTGTAGCGGGTTTTTTAGTTGCTATAATTAATTATAGTTTTCTTAAGAAGGAGGAAGGAGGTGAAACACCACACAATAATGTCTATCAACAGTGAAGCCACGGAACATACGCCTCTTATAAGCTCTGACAACCCAGAATCAGATGAATCTGGGTCCAAATCAGACAAGATACAACTCTTCAGTTGGTAAGTTTATACAATATTGTTTAAGTGAGAAACTGATAAGTTTAATAGATAGATATCACACAATTTCAAGTTATAATTTAAGTAATATTCTCACTTTCTAACCGCCACCCCCTCCCCAGTATCTCAGTAGCCCTCTCCATGATGACAGGGGTGGGTATCTTCATCTTCCCTAACATGGTTCTACAACATGTGGAGAGCGGAGGAGCGTCTCTGGTGGTCTGGGCTATAGCTGGAGTTGTGGCTCTGCTTGCTGGACTCTGTTATTCTGAACTCAGCATCGCCCTACCTGTGAGTTTTTAAAGATGTTTTATTTTGAAGAGAGCCCTCCAAATGTGACTACTATATCATTCGTAACTTTTAATCTTATGTTTGGGCTGAATGGAAGTTATGTTGAACCTTTGATCTCTCCCCTAGGGTTCTGGTGGTGAGTTGGTCTACATACAGAAAGTATTTGGCAAAGCGCCAGCAAACCTTTTTCTTCTTACTTCAGCCTTCGTCAAGTACCCAGCTATAACCATCATAATGACACGCACCTCCTTCACCTACCTGATGAGGTGTTTTACTGACTTCTCCTTCGAGGTTCCACCTTACCAGTTTGTACTAAGCTTGGCTGGCATTGTTATAGTTGGTAAGTTTTATGTTGGAAAATTTTCTGATAATATTTCTTAACCCGTCAGTTCGGGTTTCAAAACATTGAAGTGATCGGCGTTATAAAATGTACAACTCTTTATTAACTTTCCAGCTGATATCTCATCATTAATAAACTTCTCACCTCTAATCCGCTTTTATCGTCAGTAATCACCTGTTTGATGGCGTGTTACAGTACTAGACTCTGTACCCTCACAATCAACGCCCTCAACCTGTGCAAACTAGCCGGCATCCTTCTTATCCTCTCCTTCGCAGTCTATGTGGCTATCACAGGTTTGTTGAGTAAATAGCTGATTGTTAGTTTCAAATTTAAATTTTCTCACAAATAAAAGCCTTATTTAAATGAAGAAGTGAACGTTATATTGTTAGTACGCTGAAAACTACCCCAGCGCCGGATAAACATGAGATAACAGAGCGGTTCTCGTTCAAGAACACTGCAACTAATATCCCCACAATACTTCTCTCCTTATTTGGAGCTGTCGCTAGTTACGAGGGATGGAACTGTCTTAACCTGGTCGCTGGCGAGGTCCACAACCCCCAGAGGTTAGATTTCAAATCTTTCAATTTCTTGTAATTTGAACAATATCAATTCCTTTCTAAACACCACTTGCCTGACTCAAAGCGTCCGAGTATTGCCTTCATTGATTCCTATCAATCATAAGTCCGCCGATGTCTCCAGTATCATTCACTTTAAGTCTTGTATTAGCATGAAGACGGCCTAACCTCAAACTTAACATATTATTCCCCTCCCACCAGGACGATGCCGCTAGCAATAACAATAGCAACATGTGCGGCTATAGTGTTTTACATCTCCTGTAATGTAGCTTATCTCACTGTGTTACCTTTAGATGTCATGAAGGAGTCAACTGCTGTTGCCCTGGTGAGACAATCTGCTGATTTCTTCTTATCTTTTATCTTTAACATGTTTAAACTTTAACATGTTTAACAAGTTTAATATGTTATCTGTAATATAATGTATTCTGTGTAAAATTATCTTTATCCCGGTTACTGCGACAAGTAAAAATGCTCTTAAGATAAATTCATATTTCTCAAAATATGTTTTGAACATTATCAGAGCGTTATTCACTGTGCATGTTTACTGAAATAGAACAAGGAATTGATTTATCAATATAAAAATAATTCAACAGATGATTAAATAGTAATTAAAATAACCTTTTCAGGATCTAGGTAGACTGGCTCTGGGACAGACTGGTCAGATATTACTGAGTGTGTGTGTTGTGGCGTCCTGTCTAGCTACTGTTCTAGGATTAGTTCTCTGTAACTCTAGGTTAGCAGTTAATTTTCTTTAAAACATTATTGCAACTATTCAAGCTTTGGGAGGAAATTTAAATTATGATTTAAGATTTTGTGATACATAAATCTAAAATTTTAGATTTTATAATATGACACGCGTTGAAGCTCTAACTCTAAGCAAACACCAAACTGTTTTAATTTGGATGAAGAGTGTATTTATGAATAATTGTGACAAGATGAAATGACAGGTTGTTGCAGAGAGCCGCCCTAGACGGTCAAGTTCCTGAATTTATAAAGTTCACTCTCATCCGAACTTCAACCCCCATCATATCAATACTCCTTCACGTGAGTACTATGACTGTATCTTATTGCCTCCCTCCCTCTCTGAGCAATGCTGCTGATATTGCGTCAGATAACTTTTGTAACTGTAAGCAACTGCAACAAGTTGGAACACAAAGACTTTTGGGCGTTTGGGCGTTAAATATTTAAGTAAGCCTATTTTTTGATCTGACTGCGTCACATGCTCATTGCTCAATGCTCAATGCACATCAGACATCGTCACATCATGATCTCAATATGTAATCTTGATGAACTCATCATTAATTATTACGTAGAATATCTAACTCTTAACTTCTTTAATCTAGAAGTTAAGAGTTGGATATTAATATAACGATAGCTCCCATCACAGACCCCATATCATTACAGGGTTTTATCAGCAGTATATTCGCCCTAATAACCTCGTTAGACGCGCTCACCACTATAGTTATAATAGTGTCCTGGTTGTTCTACATGCTTTGTTTCACCGCTCAACTTGTTCTGAGATTCAGAGACAGACTCAAGCCCAGTTTCCGGGTTAGTACTTTAACTTACCTTTAGTGAGCAACCTTCAACTTGTTGTACATTTTATTTTATAAATATAAACTGTACTGTTGAAGATGATATGATCGATTTGATAGAATTCCGATTAAATTTGGAATCATTTTGTTTATGATATGTACCCTAAGTTAAAATGAAAAATGTCCAGGTGCCTACACTGATCCCCATGGTTCTGATATTGTTCAGTTTAGTTTTGATGGTCTCCCCCGCCCTCTCGAGTGTCGGAAAGTACCGCTCTTTTTTTACTGTGACTGTCATCCTGTTAGCAATTCTAACTCCCATATCCATCATATCTACTCTCCCTTCTCTACGGACTTCAGGGAATAAATTAGTTCAAACTTCAGGTACACTATGTAGAATAAAGATTTAATTATTACAGTTTTTAAATCTTGTATTCAACTTAAACTTAAAGTCTTTTGTCATCACTCAATAAAATAACAAAAAACTCTACTCTCTCTCTCTCTCTTTTTTATTAATTTTATCGGTTATATACTTAAAGTTAATGACATCCTCCTCAGAGCGTCTAACACGCTTCATTGAAAGTTCGGGCTCCTTTAGCTGACATCTTGGAGGGTTTATAAGTGGACAAAGAAATCAGACTCCGCCTGTCCCTGATTTTATGTTTCCAATAGTTATAATAACGTATATTTTAAGTTTAGTCAGCTGATGCTTTTAATTTTAGAAGTTTTAAGGTTTGTTTTTATCGCACTAACAGATGATTGGAGTTGACTCAGAGTTTTCCACGATTTTTTGTCTCTGTGTGAATTTTAATACGCTTTTATCTTTCAATAACTTGGGTCTGAATTTTATGTTAGATATAATGTATAACACAATGCCGAGAGTTTATAACATTATTTGCGAATCTGGAATTTTGAAACTCATGATACATTTGTTTTCTACGAGCCATTGAATTTAATTTAGATTCATTCAAGCTCAACAAATATTTGGAACAAGCCGTAATTTTGAATCTTGAAAATATAATGTATTTTCAGGCATAATTATATTAATCGAACACCATTCTGAAAATTAAAACATGGTTTCCGAGTATGTAAATTCAATTTAGATTAATGAAATTAAATAATGAGGTAAAATCAATTGTGTGGTAGACTATCTATTTTGAAATTACAAATATGTTTTCTATACAAATAAAACATTCAATGAAAATAGCAAATTAAATCTTACGTTTACCTATTTTATGGATCTTGTTGGTAAACACAGTCCTTCACACAGTCGAAATTCAAGCACTTTGGAATCTGATCCAATCACCATCCCCATGTTAAGCTGTCAAGCAGTTGATCTAAGAATCTGAATCTGTTAAAGGTTCTGCCCCTGTCTCTCTTATATCTCGGGGAAATCAGTCTGAGTCTTCAATCTGACTGAAAGTTCTCCCCTAATTCCCTCAAATCTTTGCGTCTTCAGTCTGAGTCTTCTCGCTGACCGAAAGTGCTCCCCTAATTCCCTCAAATCTTTGCGTCTTCAGTCTGAGTCTTCTCGCTGATTGAAGATTCTCCCTCAAATCTAGGTAAATCAGTCTGAGTCTTCACTCTGACTGACGGTACTCCCCCTAATTCCCTCAAATCTCTGGTAAATCAGTTTGAGTCTGCACACTGATCCCTACGAGACTGTTACTACTTCTAGTCAACATAACAATCTTCTCTTGCATCTCCCTGTTTATACTCTCCAACTCCGAAAGACGCTCCTTCAGATCCTCGTTAACAGAAGAGAAGATGGAAACTCTCCGTTCTAAGCCCTCCACATATTCCTTCTTCTTCCTCCGACTCTCTTGAGCTGATATCTGCAGGGGTGATCACAAGGTAACAAATCTCAATGGTATTAAACTTATCAGTCCTAACTCTTCGCACAATAGTATGGTGGTTCCTTGCTAACTGCAATGATACTGGCTCACGGTGAAAACCCACATTCCCGCCTCGAATGGATGCAGCAAAATAAATTTTAAGAAACGTACCTTGTTTTTTATCTTTCTCCTCGCCTTTTTGATAGCCTTGTCCTCGCTCAAACCAAGACAGTCGAGAGCGGACATCTCATAGCTCTGAGACCCCGGATCTTGTTTCCACTTGCGGAGTATGTCTGTCTGTAGTTCTTGTTGTGTTTTTAGCATGTCGTGTGGGCTCTGCAGTGCTGGTCGCTTGCTTTCCTGCTTCAACCTCTCTTCGCCCTGAAAATACCTCATTAGTAAAAATGTTTTGATGTTTTGTTGTAGTCGGCCCACTGCCCCCGGTAGTATTATTAAGTGGTAACCCCAACCACACATCATTCATTCTACTCACGACATCAAAAGTGTAGTTGTTGTAGTCGACAGGTTCTGATTTCACCATTATCTTCCGCTTTATTCCCGGACCAGTAGGCGATCTTTTTACCGTGGGACTGGTTTTAGGGAGTTGAGTGGGGAGATCCTCTAGGGTGCTTGTCAGCCATTCAGCTTTCTTCAGACACTCTTCCTGGTGAGGACTGTGTGTCAGGGATTAACAAATGGATAAGATCGCAGTCAAGGGTATATTCTGGAGTTTTAACAATAAATATTCACAATCACATAAAGGTTTCGCGAGGAAAATCTTAGAAATATTAAAATATCTGGGATATTTTCGAAACTCACTATAGATTCCTCTCCTAGAAAGGTGTTGAATAGTTCGTTGAAGATCTCCTCGCTTTTCATCTGTGATGGTATGAGACCGTTTAAACTCTGGATCTGTTCTGTCTTGTCTTGTGCCATGTATTTCTTACTCTGATTCTGAGATGATGATGATGAGAAATCTTGAAACTCTGGCAATTTCAGTATCAAACACACGAAATATCCGCTTAAAATGTGGCAAATCAGGACTACAGCTATCAGGTATCATAGAAAACACGGAGCCAAAAAACGTGATATCATGTAAAACTGGAGGTGGATGATAAACCATTTACAATTTACATTTAAACTGCAGTGTAATTTGATCCCACTTTTTCTTGGTTTTGTGCCACATGCACTATCTGCTCGCCGAGACAATTGATCCGCCCCTCACACTGTGAGGGCATCACAGGCTCCTTTTGTAATGACAATTATAATTAGCCTATTCCAGAGGCCCCTTTCTGTTTACAACTCCTAACTGGACACGTGTACATTTAAAGAGCGTTTTTTAACAACGGTTTAATGGTCATTAGAGGTTATTATTATTTGCTAAACCAGGGTACTGACACTGTGCAGTGTGCACTGTGCACTGTAATACGAACTTTATTGGGCAGATTACAAATTAGTGTATTGCAAGTTATGCGATCCTGCAGTTACTGGAATTACTTAAACTGTAATAAACGATGTAATTGTAAACTGTGAACAATGTACAGATAATTTCAGCAATGGTCATTATGCAGCTGTAATGTTAGACACAAGCTCAAGTCTCAACAATGGTCTCAATATACATTATACAAATCTATTTAATAAATTATGTAAAATAGTAAAACATTTTAAAATTAGAATTACTTCTACATTACTTTGGTTTAGTGTAGGGAGGTAGAATATAATTATATTGTTTACCAAATATACAATTTGCATCATACAAGGAGCACAACTAAATAAATGGGGAGGTACAAAAAACAAATTGTAATAAATTATCAATTTGGCTATTGGTTATGCCTTACTGCACAACAGTAAGTTAAGACTGCGAGGGAGCGCTACTAGATTACAGGGCAGGACAAGATTTCACTATCACAAGAAGCTCGAATAAGAAGTGCAAGTTGTGAACCGTAAACGGATTTGTGGGGATGCGTGTATCAAACATTCAAATAATTATCTCTTTGTGATAATGCAATATCACAATATGGAATTGAGGTTCCTACTTTGCTTGACTTAATCTTCTGAAAAGTAGGAAGGGGAATTATAAATTACGAGTTATTATTATTGTCATTATTCGGGTAATTAGTAAACTTTATAGTTTCATATTTTAAACTTTGTCTTAATCCAAGATCACTTCTAACACTGCATAGATATTCATATATGCACAATGTACAATGTACAATGTACATCAGTATTCGTTAGTACATTCATATATGCACAATGTACAATGTACAATGTACATCAGTTTTCGTTAGTAAAAATTATAGTACAATAGTACATAGGTATATTGGTACATTACTACACGAGTAGGCTATCCTCACTATACATTGTCACATGATGGACAGAATGATCACATTAACAGGATTTCATCAGTGAAATTATAAGAATGGGGGTGATTGTAAAAACCGTAAAATCATATCGTTGCAGATTAACGTACGAGGGTCTAGTGTAAAATATTAAAAGAAATTTATAAATTTATTTCCCCGAATTATTTTGGCTTTAATTATAATATTATTATATGCAAGTTTCGACTAAATTTCGGCCCGTATTTTTCCGCCGTTGTAACTGTGAGCACCAAACGAATGCAATGCTGAAAACGATACCCCTTTTATAGAACTAGGAGGGGCCGGCTTTTTATCGAGTGTAACTAACTAAATAGTAAATGTTGTTAGAGTTATACCAGATAAGAAAGCAATAGACACTAAAAGCAACCAGATCGACGCACTACAAAATCTACAAATAGCAAGCGCGAAACAGAACATAAGATAGTGTCTGTTTGGATCAGTACCTACAAGGTCAAATTATAAGCAATTCACCACACACCTTTGACCTTACTCCATTTAAGCTGCAGCTGAGGGGTTGAAAGAGATGGTCATTATTGCCACGTAAGCAGACCATATGTAGTAGCCGCACACACTCGCACGGAGTGACAAATATAAAACAGTGCAGTGGTTCCATGTTGTGAGCGGGTACAATGTTGCCACGTCACCGTGAGGGGCACGTGACCTTACTAATGTACATTTCTCATTACTAAGAGCTCCGCAATTCTCTGCCGGTCAAAGTGGATCTTGGTGTCTCAAGATGAAACTCTAATTAATAGAACCTTTGGCGACAATATGATTCAGATTCCGGAAACGGAGATTTTATCTCCCGAACGTTTACAATTACACGCCTTACTGGTAGTGTAACCATGGTAACTTAAAGCTGTTTTAAAGAAAGATTTTGAACCGGGTTAGAGGTTTGGTTGTTGTTTACCTTACTCGGGAATATTATAGCGGGTTAATTTATGACTGGGAAAATTAATAACCGGGAAAAATATGGCGGAATTTCCCAAAACCCGCCAAATTATCCCGGTCATGTATTTACCGGTGGCCGACCTTTCAAGTTTTTTTTTCAGAGGTCAACAAATTTTCAACCGAAATTTCTGTTTTTGTTACTTGTTAAAGAAGTTATTTCAATTTACAGTTACTGATATTACTCAAAAATAGAAAAAAAGACACGTCTAGTATTTAAAGGAAAATGAATCTATAGGCATAGCAATAATAAGTCAAATCTTCATTAAAGCGTATTCTCATTCTCATTATCGCTTATGTCCCCTCCATTATCATTATTGATATCCCCCTGCTGCTGACCGTCAAATTCGAAGTTGTATTGTTGTCTTAACAAGACTTTCATTTTGTCCGCTAATGGGGCTACTGCTCTGAAGGTCAGCCGGAGCTTAATTTCCTGCCCACCGCTTGGTATTGGGGAACGTCTTGGCTTTGCATCTTCAACTGCTCCACTTCCAGTAATCAATCCACCGTGGACCATGAAATAGTGGCACAGTTTACTCACTTCATGGGCAAGAAAAGTGAGAATCACGGTCCACCCTGAAATCTGATTTCTATAACCAAATTGTGATTTTTATAACGAAATTATGGTAGCAACCGCCAATAAAGTTACAGCCCTCCATCCACTGCTTCAAAAGTCTTCTCTAGCACATATGAGACTTCAGGTAAAATATGATGATCACCACCCCCTTGGAACCCCATAATCTGAGTCGGCGGGTTTTTTTATGACTGGTAAAATTTTTGACCGGGAAAAATATGGCGGAATCTTCCAAAACCCACCACTTTATCCCGGTTATAATAATCCCGAGTAAGGTAGTATAACCAATATGTCTGATGTCACCAATGTCGGTCCAATTTTAAATCAGGCCGAAGCTGGTTTACTAGTTCAAGTTGGTAACAGTAAGACATCATTCACAATTTATATAGGCCAAGTTTTAGTTATTTAAGACCCGTCAAGCTTCGTTTTGAGGGTCCCTTACCATCAGTATCACCCAAATCGGACTCAAATTTGCTACATATCTGCGACAAGAGAAACGCCATTTTCGAACGTGAGGAGAGTGAGGACTCCTCAAAATGCATTAAATTAATTCCTTCTGTAACGTCCTCAATAAATATAGTTTTAAACTGATTACAACACTACAAACTATTACATTTATTGAGTATTTTAAGCGGGAATATCCTGTCCAAACCCAAGATACATGACATAAAGAATTTGGTTTAACTTGTTTGTATGAAAAGCATCAATAGTTACGAAAACAAAATTTACTAAACATTTTAAAACATTACTGAACACCAAAAAATATTATTACTTATTCATAGATAAAACAACGAGAAATAATTTAAAATATAACAAAAGAACAAATAATATTAAATCAAAACAAATATCAGCATAATATTTTTTTTTTAAATTAAATACTTTTCAAATTTTACAGAGTACAGCAATAGATGAATATAAAATAGAATCGTTCAAAATATCGCCCCCATCTGTAAAATATGATAAGCACCCAAACACGGTAAACACATAGTGAACTATGTCCGCAGTAACTTGGGCCCATTACATCGAATTAATCTAAATCCAAAAATTTATGAAAAACTATTTAATAACAAACTAATCCATGGTGAATAACTGTGGATATAGAGTCAAAATTGTTATTTCAATACGTCAAATTTCAGATACATTAGATACAGGTCTGATATGGTCATTAATGTGTGAGAAGGTGTGCGGGTGAAGTGTGTCGTGTGATATGATGTTGAAAGTATAGGAAGGTAGATACAAAAATAATAGCAAAAATAAAATAACAAAATAACAACAAAACATACGATATTTGAATAATGACTAAAAATCGTAAAATATAAAGGATTAAACAGGATTAAACATGAAATTACCAGAGAGAACACTAACGGACTCGTCTTGGCTATACAAGAATGAATAAATCAATAAATAAAATTATCAAAACTGAATCATTTAAAAAAAAGTAAAATTTAACCGTTTACAATTTCTCGAAAGTAAAAGAAGATCGTCTATAATAATTTAAGGTAATACAGTAAATAAAGTTCGAGTACTACATCTGTTGGCGAGGGTTAAGGGACGTTTTAGGAAGCAAACGTTTGCGGAGGCATCCTAGAACGGTATATATTTTAACACATCATGCACGGGTGCCATTCTGTTTATTTGGTTCACAGCTTTTTCCTAGACTCCGTGTTCGGACTTTTGTTTTCTCTACCAGTTAATCGTTATTTTTTTCCCGCTCTCCATGCAAGCTTTCCGTTCATTTTAGAGCCTCATTTCATCAGTCGGTCTTACTAAAGAACTTCTCACCCTTTTATATAAGAAAACCTCGTTTGGATATCTATCTATTTAACCTTTATGCTATTATTTTTCCTTCCTCTGTCACATTTTAAAGTTTTATAGTCATTAGTATTTTCGGCAATTTTTTTTGCACTCGAAAACTTTGATCATGACACGAGGAAATATGGACAGAACTGGACAAGAACACAAACTAATTCAAAGACTGAGGAAACAGGAGGACTCTGCAACGGCCAGGAATCAACTACTCAGTCACCATCGCTCAATTGTCAATAATTGGTTTGGTATCGACGTTACATACTATTTTTCCCCGACTGTTATTTTATTTTATTTTTCTTTTTTCTTTTCCTCCTTTTATTATTTATATATTTATTTAAACCATTCCAGTACACTGTGCAGAAAGTTGGAGATTTACAATTTTGGAAGCATGCAAGGATACAGATTCCCTATGGGCTTCAGAAGCTATTCATGCTTTAATTTTACGTATCGAACCTAACCACCTAACCAGCTTGCTGGTGTCTGGACGGAGTGCTAACTTGATGTCGGTGCTGCCTCTGGATCGGGTGCGAAGGTCCGGCAAACCATCCACCTTAAATCAAACCTCTACAGTGTCATTCAATAGTATTATACGTGGAGGTGCAGGTGGAGTGATGACGGCGACTAGGCAAAGCCAAAAGGACCCTAGTAGCTTGATGTCTGTTTGCAACTCCCGTAAGCAGTAAGAGCCGACGTAAACACTGTAAATACAGAATTCCTTTATCATACATGTAATCCTGTTTAATCCTGTTTACATGTAACATGTATGTAACTTTATCATAAGTAGGAGTATTTTCTAGTTCACTTAAAATATTTTCTACATAAAATTTCTGACAAATAATTGCAATATTGCTTCCAGCTTTATCAACAGACAAATTTTGACTGGAGGTCCAGCCAATATTTACGGACAAACTATTTTGGCGACAGTTACCATATAAATCGAAATCAGCATTTACAAGCGTACACCGAATGGTCGAAATCTAATCGCACCCGCACGTGACGCGCACTTGTTTCACGGCGGGCGCCGAGGGATGATGACGCCCGAGGAATGATGACGCCCGCCGAAAAACAAGCACGTCACGTAGTACTCGAAAACTCCTGACTCATATTTAAATTATGCATTATGTGAAGCCCTGGGGTCCTTTCCGAAACGGTACTTAAGTCAATAATGGTACTTAAGTTAAAAGTTAAGCAAAAAGTATTTTCGAAATGAGACTTAAGGGGGGGGGGGGGTTCACCCTGATTTTTTTGTGAAACTTGGTTTCGAGATAGCAGTTGACCAACAAACTAAGACCGGTGACCGAACTTTTGAGGGGGTCCCGGACCCCAACAGCCAAACGGTGCCCGCGGCAATATTTGCTTTGTATCCTACTATTACTAAGTGTAAAATGCGCTCCCCATGGTAACACAATTCAGCTATAAATGCGACCGGGACACGGAACAAACTCTTTTCTCTCGAAATTGTCAGCCTAACGTTACAAATCAATTAACGCACGAATTTTGATCACAATAATATATATGAACTATTGCGATGAGCAATAACCTGTAGTCTGTACTTCATTATGAAGTACAGGTTATTGCTCATCGCAATCGCTCTTACTAAATCGCTCGCCCAAATTTTAAGAAAATTCTTGTGAAAAGGCCCTTTAGGCATGAAAGTGATCTTAATCGGTGTATTTTTGGACGCTGATTCCAAATCACCCCCCATGACGTAGGGTTAAAATGCTTCCCTGGAGAGTTATGGGAAAAAAACCGTTTTGGTCACGTGACAGGCTAGTAAAACGTGAATTCGATTATTTAGGGCTCGGGTCAGGGTTAGGGTTGTGGTTAAGATTATGGATAGCTCCGGGGTTATGGTTAGTAGGCGGTGCACGATAAAAATAAACTTGCTCGGATTTTCAAAATTTTTGTACCATCGTTTTCTAGAGACTGTGAGAATTTTCACAGTAACAAATTTATCATACCTTTTTGGAATGATCAGTGAGTTTCGCCTAGGTGCCATATTTGATGGAACGCGGTTTTGGAGCAAAATTAGGTGTAAAAGTCGCGTAATTTGACGAAATTCGTTGATTTTTGTCGTATTATTCTGTCATATCTTCGGTTCCTGAATCATGCTGAAAATTTGTCAGAACCTTCCAATCATACTTAACTACCGAACCTAATTTAGTTGGGAGAGATTGGCTTTGACTAAGAGGTCTAAAAATGACAAAATAGTTATAAATTCGTTGATAACTCAAATTCTGAGCATCGAAATTGCTCAAACTAAATTAGGTTCAGTAGAACATAAGTGTTTACGTAAGCTGACCAAATTTCAACAAAATTGTTATATGGGAAGTATTATAACTTTTCGATTGTTTCCAAAATAATGTGCTGGCCGAAATAAGAGCTAAAAAACCATTCAATGGTCAGCGCGCGCGTTTTATTGTCGATGGCGCACTGCCTATGTGCTATGGTTAGGGTAAGGGTTGGGATTAGGGTTTATGTAAAACCGTTTTGTACGGCTGCAAAACCAAAAAAACCAAAGTCACGTGAAATTTTTGGGCGAGCGATTTAGTAAGAGCCCATCGCAATTTTTGCAGTGATTTCGGTCCAAATAATTCGGGAGAAATTATAGGTCACGGTGATTTACGAATTATTTTATCCTATATTATTGACTTTGTTTTTGCTGGTTTAACCCCCCCCCCCTTTACAATTGTCTGCTCGTGTGCACATACTGTATATTAGAAACATGTAACAATAAACATTACAAATCATGATTTGTAATGTTTATTGTTACATGTTTCTAATATACAGTATCAAGTATATACTCGAAATAATATGCTATCAATTATTGTAATATTATTATATATTATTATATGTTGTAGCGCTATGCGTTACCATGCGCCACTCACTCAATCATGCTTCTCGCTAGATCGGCAAAATACGCTACTGCCTGGGCCTCGCCGAGCTGCAAAGAATTGACATCGTCAATTAATATCAATTAGTGCCTGGCTAGTTCGATACGTACATGGTGAAATTAACGATTTACTTGATCGGTTCAGCGTCGTGCGCCAATACCAATTTAATTCATATTTCATAATATTGCGCAAAGTAACTTTGCGGAGTGACAAACTCCCAAAAGTTATAACTAGTAGGGCACGTACGTACGCAGGGCGCAGGCAAGCTCGCACGACGATCGCAAAGCTACCATATACAAAAAACTTCGTTCGCTAACCCTTGGCGGATTTTACTCGTCTAAATTTCTTCGAAGTAGCGCGCGCCGCTTTCTTCTCGAAATGGCTTACCTGGGGACCCCAGGCTATTATGTTCATAAACATTAGGCGGAATGACAGGCTGAGCGCGGCCTGCAGTAAGCTAACATGTTCATAAACATGAATAGAGATTCATAAACACGAATAGAGATTCGGCGGAATGACAGGCTGAGCGCGGCCCAGTAATGAAATTGCAGAAATTATTGATAAACGCCTTTCTTGTATCACGTCGTGACTCGTGACCCCCATCGTCGTTTCACTATAGTGGAGTTTCTACGATACATGGGGAGCCGCGCACTCGTGCGCGGCGGGTCATACAACGTATGACAAATGACAAAGCCTTGCCTTTCCAGATTGTAGTTTTTTTTGTAATTATTGTTGCTATAAACTACAATCTTTACGAAGCGAAGTAGCCGTGATAATGAGTGCAGTGCGTCGAACAGCCGAAGCGGCTTCGTCCTACAAAAAACTCTGACAACAACAAAAATTCAAGGAATTCTTATTCAAATTTTTACTATTTTAATTTATCAGTGAAATCGTAGTCAATATATTTGTGTGCTGTGGTTGTCTAAGATTATCATTTTTGGTGTCTAAGATTTTCATTATTGGATTTATTAGTGTGTATTGTTTGATATGAATGAATTTTCTCTTTTCTTCTAAAAATAACTTAAAATATATTTATTGTAGGTTACATTTAATTTATATGGACTATAATATTGAATATGGTTCATATGAAGTTTCACCTAAAAAGAAACTCTTTAGTAAAGGTCATTCATACAGTATATACGGATAATTTCAGCAACCGAATGGTCATCGTTGCATCCAGCTATAACATAACATAACATAACATTATAAATAATGCCTCTCTGCGCATCTCAACAAGACATTCACAGAAAATGAACAATTTACTTTTAAAACCATATAATTACAAACTTTTAAAAAATGCAACTAAATACCTTTGATATTAACCTTCTTCCTCTTAGCTATCATTGGATTCTCTTTCATATAAGGTTAGATATAGAGAAACAAATTTTATGCCAACAAAATTAATTAATAAATTGTAAAAGTCTGAGTAGAATTTATAAAAGCCCCTTCGTTACAAATGTAGCCCAGTGACAATTCAATGTATAGGCTCAAAATTTGTTGTTTTCTTGAGTTTATGTCTAAATCTGCTATTTTCACTGCACTACTACTTTTTAATACTCTTCCTCCTCCAAGAGCAACGACATCGCCTCACTATATCTTTGACCTGATCGGCTAGCTTCTTGAAGATAGCTCTGTTGGTGTAAATGTTCCGTATTGCATTTTTCTTCTCAATGAAACAAGAAATTTTCAATGAAACAAGAAATTTAGTTTTTGCACATTTTACAGAATCAACAAATTTATAGCAATGAAAATATAATGCCCATTGCATTAGGTGTATGAATTACTGTCCTTGACTGCTAATTGGGTTGTAAAAGGACAGGTAATTAACGGGGCAAGGAATGTGCGGGCCTGAAAGCTTTTGCACATACCGAAACGCTAGTCCAGTCCTTTCATGGCTAGCGTACATACAAACTGGAGATCAAAGAGCCTTATTGGAAGGAGCTTGATCATGATTTACTCTTACATCTGAAAATGCCCTTTACTGTGGGTACCAAATGCTCCTAGCACAGGTATCTATCCTAGCTCCATCTACTTCATAAAGATCCGATGGATCCGTAGCTACTCCCTAGACATGCGAATCGGTACTGCTGACAAGGAGAAAAGTTTGGACGAGACATACCCAGGAGACGGGACATACTCAGGAGATTAAAAATGGCAGGACACTAACAGATATCCTAAAGCTGCTGGCCAATGATTTAGTCTTATACAAACCTGTCCAGCACATGCAATGGTAGAGCAAAGCAAGGCCGACTGAAACAAAGCCATTTGTCTGCGTTACTGAAGGAAGTTGGGAATCAGTAAATCTCATAATGCTTTTACATTTCATTGGAAATTGTGTGTGCAGCAGTGGCATAACGAAGGGCCCTGCAGTGGCATAATGAAGGGGGCATCTTAGGAGGGCATCAAATCGTCTTATTAATGTGCGAAAATTTAGAAAATTTAATAAAATTGCACGTTATGCTCTAAAAACACACTTTTTTAGAGATTTTACCGTCATATTCTTTAAAATCACCTTATTTGTCCAATTATAACTTCCTCCTTTAAGGGGGCCGGGGGTCTTCATTGTTTCTGATAGAGGGGAGTGATATCTATCAGCTGCTTTCGGCCCTATGGAAAAATATTTTTCCTAGCTGAAGTTATCGCTGATCAAAAGTCAGCGCTTTATGTGTAATTGTATTGCTCGAGCGATTTTCAATCACACCCTGAAAATCGAGTCTTACAATCTATCTTCTCCTACATTTTTTCAGCAATCATCCTAAAACTTTCAGGATATGTTCTAAGGACATTTTCTAAGGCCAGAATTTTGAGATATGCCTCTAAAAAAATTTTATTCGATTTTGAAAATCTTGAACCTCGTTTTTTGATGATTTTTAAAATTAATATTTTAATATTGATATAATTGTTTTTTTGTGGGTACCTTACTCGGGATTATTATAACCGGGATAAAGTGGTGGGTTTTGGAAGATTCCGCCATATTTTTCCCGGTCAAAAATTTTACCAGTCATAAAAAAACCCGCCGACTCAGATTATGGGGTTCCAAGGGGGTGGTGATCATCATATTTTACCTGAAGTCTCATATGTGCTAGATAAGACTTTTGAAGCAGTGGATGGAGGGCTGTAACTTTATTGGCGGTTGCTACCATAATTTCGTTATAAAAATCACAATTTGGTTATAGAAATCAGATTTCAGGGTGGACCGTGATTCTCACTTTTCTTGCCCATGAAGTGAGTAAACTGTGCCACTATTTCATGGTCCACGGTGGATTGATTACTGGAGCAGTTGAAGATGCAAAGCCAAGACGTTCCCCAATACCAAGCGGTGGGCAGGAAATTAAGCTCCGGCTGACCTTCAGAGCAGTAGCCCCATTAGCGGACAAAATGAAAGTCTTGTTAAGACAACAATACAACTTCGAATTTGACGGTCAGCAGCAGGGGGATATCAATAATGATAATGGAGGGGACATTAGCGATAATGAGAATGAGAATACGCTTTAATGAAGATTTGACTTATTATTGCTATAGATTTATTTTCCTTTAAATACTAGACGTGTCTTTTTTTCTATTTCTGAGTAATATCAGTAACTGTAAATTGAAATAACTTCTTTAACAAGTAACAAAAACAGAAATTTCGGTTGAAAATTTGTTGACCTCTGAAAAAAAAACTTGAAAGGTCGGCCACCGGTAAATACATGACCGGGATAATTTGGCGGGTTTTGGGAAATTCCGCCATATTTTTCCCGGTTATTAATTTTCCCAGTCATAAATTAACCCGCTATAATATTCCCGAGTAAGGTACACAGTTTTTATTCTAATTCTTAATTATATCCTAGCATCTTATCAAAAATGAATAGCGCAGACAAGCCTTTGAGGAACAGTCAAGCCATCGAAAAAGAAGTTCTTAGGGTATGTTTTTAAAGTTGTAGTAAAAAGCTTCCTTCACCTTTCACTACATGTGGCTGGTTATGATTACATATTAATTTGAAGATATTTAAGGTAATAACACTGCCTTTGATGGAAGTACACAACGATTTGCACTAACTAGTTTTACAAAGAACATTTCTAGAATACTCCAATTATTGAGTCTTGACTCATGCCTTGTTATAATTTCAGAGAATGGTGACTAATTTCCGAGTACAAGAACTGCAGCAGTTGATGAGCATGTGTAACAGATCCCGTGTGGGCAGAAAACAAGAGCTGCTCTCACGTGCACTATATCTTGTAAAGAACATCAACGATGTATCAAAAGACTGCAAAGTGGCATCCTCTATACGTGATCTGTACAACAGAAGGTACCCCAGCCGCCAGATGCAGATAGTTGGAGGAATGCAGGATGCAAACTGCATTCCATTACCTCCTACCACTGGTGAGACCTTTTAATACTTTTATCAGCTTTGTGCTAATGTACAGGGTGGCCCAAAAGTAACTATCCACATGCAACCCTTTAATAACTTACGTTATTCGTGTCAGAATTTCACAAAAATTTCAGAGAATATAGATATGGGTCAAACTTAGATTTCCTGAAATCTTCGTAAAATTTCATCAATTACAGAGGGTGTGGCACGCCACTCCGTCTTTATCTCCATTGCCACCATAAAGTGAGAACGTTTTGAGTTAGGAACTCCAAAATTTCCAGACACATTTGGTTTGATAATTGAAGTGCTTTCCCAAAATTTCAAGTTGCTTGTTTACATCTAAGCTGAGTTGTGACCATTTTAAGATCTGGCAGATACATGATCATAGGACAGCAACAGAAGTGCTATAACGCAAATTTCTTTGATTTTAAGGAAAGTCACAATCAGTATTCACATAAAGTGATCAGATCGTCATCCCCCAACATGCTCGGTAGCGCCTAATGAGGTTCATTATTGCCCGCTAGTGAATAGCTCCCGATGAGATCACTGATTGGGTGACGAAATCAGTGATTAAGTGCCGGGATCACATATCCGCAAGATCTTAAAAGGGTCATAACTCGGCTTAGTTGTAAACAGCCAACTTGAAATTTTGGGAAAGCACTTCAATTATCAAACCAAATGTGTCTGGCAATTTTGGAGTTCCTAACTTAAAACGTTCTCACTTTATGGTGGCAATAGAGATAAAGAGGGAGTGGCGTGCCACACCCTCTGTAATCGATGAAATTTTACGAAAATTTCAGGAAGTCTAAGTTTGACCCATATCTATATTCTCTGAAATTTTTGTGAAATTCTGACACGAATAAAGTGAGTTATTAAAGGGTTGCGTGTGGATAGTTACTTTTGGGCCACCCTGTGTGATGAGTGCTGTTCATAAAGCTGAGTTGGCAGTCTAACATTTACTCGTGCTGACCTATACATCAGTGATCATGTCTTTCTTAGTTGTGTGCTTAAATGTGATTGGTGTTCTCAGTATCGTATCGAGGTACATTTTAGTGTGTCTTGTTTTAGTTAACTTCACAATTTCAAATGATAACTTGACATTCTCTGAAGACAACATAGGGTGACTACGACATGACTTTTACATAAAATCTTGAATTCCATCTGCCCTTACTAATCTGGTGTGATATAGTGGTGCACACATCTTCTTGAAAGCTTGTACAAAAAGTAGATTTTAAAACTCATCAGTCGCTCATTGAAATACCAAACTTGTTCTTACTTTCTAGAATTCATACAAATCTTCCTTTGCCATCATCTAAATTATTCTAGCATTATATGGATTATGGTCACTCAGTCAGCTGATATAAATTGATTTCTCAATTGTATTCTGCTGGGACAGGAAGGTTTGGCACAGAATTCTGCCTGGAGAATTTGCCGCAATTCAGTCTAAATCATTTAACAAAGTTCAAAAACTGTATGTTGGGGCTTAATATACCACCATATAAGACCTAAGCAGCATTCAGGTTAACGGGTTCTAACTTCATGGTCTATTATATTGCAGTATATATTATTTAAGTATTGGAAAATTTACAATAATATTTTTGTTATAACAGTTGCCATTAAATAGATTGAAATGTGAAACCGGCCCGGAGGTATTTATCCTAGTGTGCCTATATTGGACTCTGTTGAACAGGCTAGGCAAGGCCAAGGGTAGGTTAATTAATGCAAACCGCAAAAAGAAACTGTAAGGGCTAGAATTGCATATTATTAAACGTGCAAACATTGCAAAGTTATTATGCAGATTCCTTATCTTGGTCACACAACTGCTGCACAGGGTGATTCATAAGTAATATCCTGATTTTAAATACAATAAAACATTTATGAAGGAGCTTAAAGCCAATTATCGGTTACTACTAGTTCGGTTGTAAGGTTACATATTTGATTTGTTAAGCTTACATAATTAATATATCTGTTTGTTAATTGTAGTTTCTATGTAGCTATAACTATACGTGATAAAAGTAAGAGTTCCCATGTCCCGCATACAATAGCAATGTAATGTTATATTTGTCAATTATACGCTACCATCTAGCTATCAAGTATTTGGGTCGGACTTCTCAACAAGCTGGCTATTAGGCATTAGCTTCACACAAATCTTGAGAGCTGTCCCTTTCTCGTAGTGCTGCCGTTATTGTGTGTCAAGCTGGGCGCGCTGAAAAGTAAAACAAACAAACAGACTGACAGACACACACCCTCAGAGAGCAAATATAGTGCGGTGTGTGCGTTCAGTAACATCTTGTCTACAGAGGGGGATTGTGCGGAGACCTCAGGCGCAGTACAGACCAGCCCTACCACAGGGCCGCGCACTAATGGTTATCCTAGCACTTCTGGAGGTTATTCCTCTACTGACTCCACTGCTGATAAGGTACGAGCTGATAAAGTGCTGGCTTTATCAGAATAAATTAACGCACGTTTAGGTCTCTCCGTTTCCTTACCACTCAATCTATCAGCTTGAATAACAGAGGATCTACTTATTATTATATTTAATCAGTAGGAAATAATATATTTAGTAATTCTAACATTCCGCGAAACCCAGGCTCAAGTTCCAGTACTCCCTGACGTCTCATTTAAAGACCTGCCGTTCTACGAGGAGCTGGATGTGTTAATAAAACCTACCAGTCTGGTGGATCATGGACCTAGTAGATACCAAGAAACTGCTCTACCTTTCTATCTTAGTCAGAGACAAGTTCAGGCTATATACGATAGCAGGTATTGTGCTTCTCTTTAAAATTCTGCCTTATTGTTGGCTACAATTTGTTTTATATTTTCAATTTCAGTTCGTGGCATTAGAAAAAAGATGTCACCCTCACAACGTGTTTAATAGGTTATCTCACTTTACAGTTTACAAATTAAATTTTAAGATTGTGCGCACAGCAAGATTCCCTTGAGTGGCTAGCGTCTAATTAGGAAAGTCTTAAAAAGTACTTGAAGTTTTGTTTTTAGATTAGTTCACTGTAAAATCTGTTAGCAAATTGGTGTTCAATTTCTAATGTTTTTGTACGTTTTATTTGGTTCTGTAGACCTACAGTGTAATGTGGTACATTGTAATTGAAGGTGCATTGTAATTGTAGTGATTATTATTCAATGTTGCGTGTATTTATTATGCTGTTTTTAATCTAATCTGGTATAAAGCTGTATAGTAGTAACCATACCACTCTACTTAAAAGCACAATAACATATCTCCAGTCTATAGAGTGTATCACCTTAATAACACCAGAATGTGTGTGTGTGTGTGTGTGTGTCTGTCTGTCTGTCTGTCCGTGTGTAATTTCCGGTCGGTTATACAAAAAAAACGGTAAGAGTTACGGGACTGATTTTTTCGGTATAGTGTCGACAAAACTCTGATGAAGCCCATAGGAAATTTTTTTAAAAATCGGCCAATGGTAAGTGGTTTAATTGATGGTTTTGTACCACAAATGTTACATAAAATTGCGTGAGCAGAACGGCAAGAGTTACGGGGCTTGCTCTCTCTCTCTCATTACTGTGTAATATGTTATAGCTGCATTTAAGTAGCGTCATAATTGGATTAGCCTGGAAGATTCGCTGTAATGTTATACCTTAAGCTTATTAGGGGAGGGGGGACTGTTAGTGTTTGGGGTCTGTTTGGACTGCAGAGAGAGAGAGAGAGAGAGAGAGTTCATACGACAATGTTATGCGTGTTTTCAAATATAATATGCGGGTGTGGTGCGGAGTTAACAAGGGTTAATTTCTATAACGATTTAAATAAAAATAGAAAGCGGTTCAAGACGGGAGTGATGAGGTGTAATACTCGGTGTTCAGACCTTATGATCATGGAGTGTGGTGCCTCATGGCTAATAATGACTTAATTATCCACAAGAAATAACTGATTATGAGATTATTGTTTAAGAAACTATTGGGTCACCTAATGCGGGTTTTGACTCAGCGGGTAATTACTCCTACCCTTTTTAACTGCGGCAGTGAAATCCCGGCCGTAGGCCGGGTTACACTAGTATTATATACAGTAGATGTGTTATCTGTATAATATACACATGTATATCTACATATTTATAAACCACTTCTTATTATCTGTTATACTCAGACAAGTAAACACCCGCCTGAAAGGCTCGTGTTTATAGGCAACACCCGCCTGACAGGCTCGTGTTTATAGGCTACACCCGCCTGACAGGCTCGTGTTTATAGGCTACACCCGCCTGACAGGCTCGTGTTTATAGGCTACACCCGCCTGACAGGCTTGTGTTTATAGGCTACACCCGCCTGACAGGCTCGTGTTTATAGGCTACACCCGCCTGACAGGCTCGTGTTTATAGGCTACACCCGCCTGACAGGCTTGTGTTTATAGGCTACACCCGCCTGACAGGCTCGTGTTTATAGGCTACACCCGCCTGACAGGCTTGTGTTTATAGGCTACACCCGCCTGACAGGCTCGTGTTTATAGGCTACACCCGCCTGCGGCCTGACAGGCTTGTGTTTATAGGCTACACCCGCCTGACAGGCTCGTGTTTATAGGCTACACCCGCCTGACAGGCTCGTGTTTATAGGCTACACCCGCCTGACAGACTCGTGTTTATAGGCTACTCCCTCAGGGGGCATTAGGGTGTTTATAATCCGCTCTAACACTGTCCAGGGTCTAGGTGTTCAATACCATATTCGTCTTGTTTAAAATTCCTAGGTTGTAGTCGAAAGTCAACAGTTTGGTATCATTTTACCATTCTAGTAGAGATTAAACTGTAATGTTAAACAAGAAACTGTCGATTGTTTGAAACTACTGATATTGATAACATCACATTTATAACATTACAGGACAATGCAACCAATGCAAGGGGGTAACGTGATGTCATATAACTACATGGTACAAATACAAGTTCGACTTTGTCTACTCGAAACCAGCTGTGAACAAGCCGATCATTTCCCCGCATTCTGCGCTCTCAAAGTCAACGGCAACCAGGCTTTCAGTGTGAGTTACTATCAGTTACTATCAGTTACTATCAGTTACTATCAGTTACTATCAGTTACTATCAGTTACTATCAGTTACTATCAGTTACTACCAGTTACTATCAGTTACTAATACTATCAGTTACTATCAGTTACTACATGGATTACTAGTAATTGCAAACAAGACTAAATTTGTCGGTACTGAGCTACTCTCTTATGTAATTGTACTGTTATCTTAATTTCACCCAGCGGCCAGCACTGGGTTTGGAAATGAGCTGGTGTTTGAGTACAGATGGTTGAAGACTAGCAAGTAGACTATAATATACATAGTTGCATAGTTACGTAACTATATGATAGTCAAAGCCATGTATATTTACCTCACTGTCTGGAACATTCCGTACGTTATTATATTGTTCAGCTGTTGTACAGCAGTGTATAGTAGTTAGTACTATAACCCCTAACTAGCCCAGTGTATATACTTTGATATTATAGTACGTGATATTTCCAATGTTAGGATATATCTGGCCAGGTAGCGTAGTTGGTTGATCATCGGATTTGTAATCGTAAGATTGCGAGTTCGAATCCCACTGCCTGCCTAGTCGTGGGGTGAGCGTCGTTGACGCTCTGCTAAGGATCCCGAGTGGTCTATGTAGCCCCACGGTTCACTCAGCCGAATGCTCGAGAAATCGGGTGTGAGGGTTAAATGAGGAGCTGTGCTTGATCAACACAGCGAAGCCTCGGGCGAAGAAAGTGTGGCATAGTGCCTTAACCGTTGCTGGCCTTAGGAACGATCCTTCGGCTTCTTGTAAAGCTCTTCCTTGAAAGTGCTGGTTTACATTGTAATGCAGGTAATGCCGAAGTAAAATAACAAAGGTGGTCGACTCATTCGATGGCCTTGTTGCGTCGCAACGAATCCTCATGAGATAAGATAAGATAAGAGATTGGAAAAATCACGTACCATCTTACTATATATAAAGCGAGACGATATATATATATATATATATATTTATTTATCCGTGCCATTTTACTGACACCACGGCATCAACTTTAACGCGAAAAGATATACAACTGAAACTTTTTTGACTGGGTCAAATGCTTTAATGGCCTCCAAATCAGCATGAAAAAATAAAAAATTGGCCAAGAAATAGGAGTTTTAGAGCCCAAAATTTGGTACCCCAAGTGGTGTCAAAAACGCGAATTAAATAGGTAATAATTGTTTTAGTCTCTTGAGTCTTGACACCATTTTAGGATTAGACGGGTTCCTGCTAGTAATATTAAAGTATATATACTTAATATAAATGTATATAATAGACATACATATTATATACATAGTAAGACTTGGTTCCGAAGAGGCTTCCTCGAATATGGCTCGAACTTGGTTATTGTAATGAGGCTTCCTCGAGTAATAGTTTTAAATGACAATAGACAAATAGGTAAAATGCTAACCGGCTAATAATAGCCATTTTTGGGGCACAAATACCTAAAAGCCGGTTAATATCCATTTTAATTGCATTTCTAACAGCCATCTAACAGTCCTTTCCACCCACCTCGGTCAGCTCTTTGTTTTAAGAAATATCCTAACAGCCGACGTTTACTTGAATTGTGTTTTGATATGGCTATAAAGGAGCTGTTAGAGGGCTGTTACCGTAACAGCCGGCAGTTATTAGCCGGTTGGCATTGTAGGCCCCCCCCCCCCCCCCCCCTATTGTACCTATTTTCCGGGACAATAAGCGTAAATATACAACCACCTGGGAACTAATTTGCAACAATTTATTTTTGCCATTAGGATTTTATATTAGATTCAGACACTGAACACTCATAAGCTCGATATGGTGTACAAAAAGGACCGCAATGGTCATATTATGGCAGGCGAATGAGGCCTTGAAAGTGCTCAGATCATCGCGATATTTTAATGTTTCGGATAAAATTGAAAATCATTTATATTTTTGGTAAATTTTCCTAACTTTCGTTGGGAAGGTATTACAGATTTTTGGATCAGTGAAAAATAACCGTAACTAGCTTATTTATTTATATTCAACTTATCAAGCAAAATATGCCCTAAAGCTAAAACAAGTTTACTTTTCGAATTATTAGCGAAAAACATATTTTGGCTGCACGATTTCGCGAACATTTAGGTGGGTTATAAATTGGTCTAGAAAGGTCACAGAGAGAGACTTTCTAATAGTTGTAAACTCTTTGGGGTTGTAAATTGTTCCTGGGACTATGGAGGGGGCCGGGGGGAGCCAAGTGGATATTTGTAGATATTTGGATAATGTCATCCACTTTTTTCGTGAATTATCCATAATATCCATTGACAATAATCTACAAATATCTACATATATCTACAAAAAATGTATATCTCAAATATGTGCCCAGAAATTCTACTGAATTTTTGGAGATAAATGTATAAATTTGTAGAATTTGTAGAATTTTCGTGAATTATCCATTGACAATAATCTACAAATATCTACATTTATCTACAAAAAATGTAATCTCAAATATGTGCCCAGAAATTCTACTGAATTTTTGGAGATAAATGTATAAATTTGTAGAATGTCATCCACTTTTTTCGTGGATTATCCATTCTACATTAATCTACAAATATCTACAAATATCCACTTGGCTCCCCCCCTATGGACAACGCATTCGTGCACAGAAATTCTTGTAGTAAAAGTAAACCGCGATGAGCCTCAATTGGATATTACATCTATACTAATAATCTCAAGATGTGTGTTCGTTCGCGTGTAATTCCCTAACGGCTTAATAAGAAAACGGTAAGAGCTTGTTTTTTTTCGGTATAGTGCCGACAAAACTCCGACCAAGCCAAATGATAAAGGTTTTTTAAATCGGTCGGCGGTGTGTGTGTGTGTGTGTGTGTGTGGGTGGGTGGGTGGGTGGGTGGGTGGGTGGGTGGGTGGGTGTGTGGTGTGTGTGTGTGTGTGTGTGTGTGTGTGTGTGTGTGTGTGTGTGTGTGTGTGTGTGTGTGTGTGTGTGTGTGTGTGTGTGTGTGTGTACTCTCCCACTCTCTCTCTCCCCTCATAATAGATTTGCTATATAATTAGGTAATTTGGCAGGGGACCTCAAGATTGCCTATCAAGTATTACTATTAGATATGTGAGGGGCACTCAGGATTAAATTGTGGTCTGTTTGCAGAATGAGCGAGTTCATACTTACGCACCGTTTTAACTACGAAAATGTAAAGATGTTTTCTAATATAATAGGCGGGTTTATACTTTTGCATTTCAACTGCGATAGTGAAGTCCCGCTTAGTCCCGGCCGTAGGCACGGGTTACTCTATACTAGTATATTTATATTATGATAATCATATATTCAAATTTCAAACAATATCATTAAATATTATGATTAATCGTTCACACTAAATAAACATACAGAATTAATCTACATTAAAGAATCAATAATCTATAATATTATTATATATCACTAAATTTTCTCATTTCTCCGCTCCTGTTTATTTTGTGGCAAATTAGTTCCCAGAAAATATCCCAACACCCTAACTATAAGGCTCTAACTGGGCTGTTGTAAGAAGAAAACTACTGCTAGACTATTTAGATAGACTTTAACAGTCTCAGTGAGTCTCACATATTTCCACATTAAGTCCCGCTTGAATGATTTAAATGTACTACATCTTTGTTGGGTATATTTTAAAGTTTTAATGTCGAAGCGTGTAATAAATGTTATAATTTATTTATTTATTTATAAGCCCGTCTGTTTGGTCCCCGTACCTCTACTTACAGTAAAGTTACCATTACTTACAGTAAAGTTACCATTACTTACAGTAAAGTTACCATTAGCATAACGTGCAATACGTAAGTGTGCTTTGAAATACATCTGTTTACTTCTCCCTGTATACTGTATAGTGCAGTGAGTAGTGTACATGTATATATTGTATAATGTATATTTCCTGTATACTACCTGTGAAAAAGGAAGCCTGTACCACGTGTCGCGTTGGTCACAAATATTGTACGTTTTAACGAGTGGAGACGAAAAATCGGTAAAATTCGTGTAACTACCGCCTGCTGGGTTTATACACTGTTGGTATGCACACTTAATTACCCAACTTACAGTCGAAATTAATCACTCTAACTAATCACACTAATTAGTAATTAAGGCATCATGTAGCCGGTGGGCCCGACATGATACGACATATCTTGACACGTCGGGGTTTGTCGGGATTTGTCAGGGTTTGTCGGGGTTTGTCAGGGTTTGACGGGGTTTGACGGGGTTTCCGGTTTATCGAGCCTGGAGGCTTTTTTTTTTTTTTTTTTTTTTTTTTTTTTTGGAGTCTCCCAACAAGCTTTACGTGGAAAAACACTATACAAGAAGGCCTCATGTAGCCGGTGGGCCCGAGGCAAAACCCCTCGACAAACCCCGACAAACCCCGTTTGTCGGGGTTTGTCGGGATGTGTCGGGGTTTGTCGGGGTTTGTCGGGGTTTGTCGGGGTTTGTCGAGCCTGGAGGCTACATGATGCCTTAATTAATCACGCTAATTTCAGTTTCAAGAACCACAAAGCTCTAACGTGAAGCGACCTCCTTCCAATCCTATAGACATAACAGGACACTGCAGACTGAGTAGCGCGTATCCTAACGTGCTGAACGTTACCTGGGCCGCTAACTACGGACAAAGACACTGCATTGTAGTGAGACTAGTGAGGCAACACAACTCTCAGATATTACTGGATAGGTTAAAGAAACATATCCGTAACGTGGATCACAGCAAGGTCAGTGTATACATACTGTATACATACTGTATACATACTGTACAATGTATAGTATATATGTATATTGCATAGTGTATACATACTGCACTGTACAATGTATAGTATATAGTATATATGTATATTGCATAGTGTAACATACACTGTACTATATACCGTACTATATATATTATTATATACATGATACCAACGCACAGCTATACTGTGTGTTGGTATGTGAACCATATGGAAGACAGACCCGTGGGGAAATCTTCTTTTAACTGGGATTATGATAAGACAAATATAACTCTCTTCGGTGTTATAATCAAACCCAAAAATTTCGTCGCTAAGTTTACTAATAATGACTCCCCTGATAGGCTCTGATAAAAGAGAAGTTGTCGTGTGATGATAACGAGATAGCTACCACCAGTTTGCGGGTTTCACTACTCTGTCCCCTCAGTAAAGCTAGAATACAAATACCTTGTAGACCAACCACATGCAGTCACCTTCAGTGTTTTGATGCGTCTATCTTCCTTCAGGTTAGCTTCTACATATAATATCTTCTTTCAGATTATTTAGGTGTGTAGTATGTAAGAATAATTTGTAAGTTTGATGACGAGCAAAAATAAAAACATATTACATCTGACCTATCGCCATCTTTGACATAACATGTTTCTTATGACTCTTATTTACGTCATTGTTAAAAATTGCGCCATAATGACGTCACAACCCCACCATAATGACGTCACAACCCCACCAGATGAATGAGCGTAAAGCAACGTGGCAATGTCCAGTATGTGACGGTGCAGCCAAGTACGGTACCCTCGCTATAGACGCCTTCTTCAAACTTATCATATCACAGTCCCCCGACGCCGAGGAAATTGAGGTCTTTCCCGATGGTTCCTGGAAGGCTTTGACAAATAAACCAGGTACATATTTGTTTAAACTAGGAGTAAATTTTAAAGTGTGATTGTTAAAATGTGTTTTAACTCGTCATGTCCCAGAGGTGTATTGTCGTATATTGCTTTAAAAGTAAGCAGCTAAATGCGGTTTAAACTCTGTGTGTACCCTGAAACTGCCTATTTTCCTGTTTAAACTGTACGTTTTACTGTGCACTTCACGGCGGGTTAAAATGGGCGGGTATTATTTGTATTATCTCGTTAGCTCAAGACGATGTTAAAATTTTGTTGTACGACCATATTATAATCAGTATATAATTATATGTTTTGACCAATAGAATTATCTGATTTAAGTTAATATCACATTATTTTTTTCAGATCCCAGTCCTTCAGAATCGCGTAGCTCATCAAAACCAGAGGCTATCTCAGTAGACAGTCCAGAGTCTGCTGGTCCTTCCTCCTCCTCACCCACCACCACAGCAACACCAGGTCTGTAACCAGCCAGTTACCAGCCAGTTACCAGTCAGTAACCAGTCAGTAACCTGTCAGTTACCAGTCAGTAACCAGTCAGTAACCTGTCAGTTACCAGTCAGTAATCAGTCAGTAACCTGTCAGTAACCAGTCAGTAACCAGTCAGTAACCTGTCAGTTACCAGTCAGTTACCAGTCAGTAACCTGTCAGTTACCAGTCAGTAACCTGTCAGTTACCAGTCAGTAACCAGTCAGTAAGCTGTCAGTTACCAGTCAGTTACCAGTCAGTAACCAGCTAGTAATCAGTCCGTTACCAGTCAGTTACTCTGTTTCCTTAAATTTTGTTCAACTGACAAGTTGTATCATTTAATTGACGTCACTGCTTAATGAATAATGATTATACCAAAATCGAATATTCAATCAGTAAAACAAGCCAGACTGTCACTTCATGTCTGCACGTATCTGCTACATAGGTGTGTTGTGTGACCTCACGCGACATGCATAGTGACGTCACGCGACATACATTGCATTGTGACTTCACGCGACATGCATAGTGACGTCACGCGACATACATTGCATTGTGACGTCACGCGACAGGCATAGTAACGTCACGCGACATACATTGCATTGTGACTTCACGCGACATGCATAGTGACGTCACACGACATGCATAGTGACGTCACGCGACATACATAGTGACGTCACGCGACATGTATAGTGACGTCACTCGACATACATTGCATTGTGACGTCACGCGAAATGCATAGTGACGTCACGCGACATACATTTCATTGTGACTTCACGCGACATGCATAGTGACGTCACGCGACATACATTGCATTGTGACTTCACGCGACATGCATAGTGACGTCACACGACATACATTGCATTGTGACGTCACGTGACATGTAGTGTGATGTTAGCATTATCAGAAATATCCAGTTCAACGGTGTTCACCAAGGCAAGATTCTGAAAACCGGGATGAATTTCGCAAATCAAGCACCAGTGCCTGTCATATTATATGCAGCTATGAAGAAGAGACTGTCTCGCACTTTCTTGGACAATGCCCAGCTATTGCAATACTGCGAGGGCAATACTTTCAGGATTATTATCTTTCTGTCGACGAGCGTCGACGTCTTTGACAACCAACATATTACTACTATTGTCAACTAGCACTAAGCGAGGAACACACCAGAATGACATAACGTCTATTCTCGTGCTGATTTAACTGGTTATCATCTTCTCGGTATTCGGGCATATATTAATTCCACCTACCACTTTACCTACATCATCTTCTTATATATTTGCCCTGGTATCCTCCTCCTGGAGGGTTGCCACACCCCACAGGCAGACGGAGCATCTTCATGCTATCATTTTGTGAGCCACCTAGGTCCAGCCTCTTTTTTAAAAGAAAAAGATAGACGCCTATTACTACCATGTCAGTTTGCTATGTGTGTCTAGGCGCTCCTCTTAAGGTGTACAGGATGGTTCATGTTTAATTTTAATGAAGAATTTTGTAAACCACCTGCCAATCCGTAATTTGTAGTATGTGGTCATGACATGATGACCGATAACTTGATTACAAAATCCTGGCAAAATGCCAATTGTCAAAGTCTCCGAGATCAGTAACGTTGTAGAAATAAGGGAATTTCCGGAGAAGAAAAGAAGATGAAGAGCGGGAGAGTGTAGCCGGCGTTTGAAGAATGTACAATGCATTCCAGAGTGTATAGTTTACTGCTCAGTACACTGACTGTACTGGTGTGTAATTGTGTGGCTATTTCGGGCTATGATATCACGTGTGCGCTGCTCACTTATAGCGGCGGTGACGTCACAATGCATGTAGCTGCTACTTCTTCCGGGATAACTAACTTCATTTCCGGGAGCGGAGACACGAACAATGGAGACTTACCGAGACCGGAATGGAGATTTGTAGAAGTGGAGATAGGATAGAATTGAGATATTTTCCCAATCTAATTTGTGTGTTTTAAAAATGGCGTTATAATTAAATGAAGGTGAACACAGGACACGATGGTAATTACTGCCCTAATGAGATAATCACTTGGCTATAAGATCACCCACCGGTCATTAAGTAATCTATCTCATTGTAGTGAAATTTCTGTTTGATAAATAGATACAGTGACAACAATACATAGATTGTCATAAAATTATGCGACTATTTATCGCTTGACGCTGAATATAAGCTGCAATTACCTCTGCATCTGACAGTAAATATTAATGTTCTTAAAATAATTTTAACTACTGCTAGTTAAATAACACAAACCATTAAAACATGTCAACAGAGAGAGAGAGAGTTGACTGGTTAGTGGTTTGCAGTAGAATTAGTGTGGGTGTCTTGATGTGGGTATCACATTCATGCAGTTTAAAGGAATGAATCCATTCTTAATTTAATGTGATCTTGTATACGGCTATAACACCGCCGTCACCCCCACTGATTGGAATGGTATTTAATATATTTATCCTTGTGGAACCATTATAGTTTGCTCTTTCTAGCAAGTTTCTAAAGCAGAGAATACATATTTTACATAACCTGGTCGTGTATCCTGACTTCTGGATCTGTACGGTGTGGGTAAAAAGACTAAAACTATGACATGACATGTTAAATTTACTACTAAATTTATATTTTTCGTGTTACCGTGTTACATTTACCACCGTGTTAAAATTACCATAGTGTTACTGTCAGTAACACTGTTTACTGATTACCGTTTACTGATAAACGGCACGCTCCAGTGTTCATTATATAATTAGTCTACTATGCTATTAGTATTGTAACTCTTATCTACCATTTAATTTAAATCTTCGCTTCCGCTCAGAAATATGGCTAGACTGCATACGATAAATTAAACGATAAACTTACGTCGCAGCGCCTAAAATTTGCGATGATCATTACGACTGTGTCGGATCAATTTCTCGGATCGCAAAACTGAAAGTCTAAATTTACTCATTGATATGTGGACTTGCTAGATGTGTGTCCTGGTAAAATACCTCCCGTCTCCTATATTGTAAACCTGAACAGTGCGATACAAATCTTGATTTACTGGTTGGAATCTTGGTTTGACTCGCACTAATCGCCTGTAAATGTAATATTGCGGGAAGTGAGATACTGGTTAGTCAATATTGGAGCAGAGTTCGACTGTGTTTCATTGGTTAAGAGCATTCCTTATCTTGTTACCATTCGAACCATCTCTCACTTCTATTGAGAAATATAGCAAAGTGCTACTTCTAATATTAGACACTGATACCTTATCATTAAATTTGTGATATCTAGAATGACGCCCTAGTTATATAATATATAAGGCGACCTGGAAGAAAACCACTCTGTTGTGCAATCGGGCGATGTTAAATGGCTGCTATATTCTCTGGTCTCGAACATTCCAGAGATTTTCTCGAGTTTTACATTTCTCGATCTTCACTTTCTTCTCAACATTCCATGACAGATAGGTCTCAATAGTCAAATCTGTCGATTAAACGTAAAAAATGCGGAGACTGACTGCGGTCAAACTGTTAAAAAATTCCGGCGTTACACGCGAATGTAACGTTCATTCTGTACTGCAGTTACGTCCTTTTACAGACTTACTTCCCTGCCATTATTTGCGGAGGTAGCGCAACTGGTTAACGCGTTATCACGAATGCATAAAATTAGCTTAATGCATATTATGTGTACGTTAAGGCTAGCATGCAGACAAATCAAATCAGTCTTGGTGGCTTGCAGTTACGTCCTTTTATCGACTTACTTCCTCAACTTAGTGTAAGTAATGTGTAGAAGTGTGTACGCATCAATTATTCCATATATGGGAGAGCTATTTATAGAAACAAAGTGAGGCGGCCAATCAGAACCGAGAGTCGGTTATTTGAGCCAATCAGGGGGAGCCACAGAAGGAGAGAGAGCGTGGCACAGTCCTGATGAAATTAAATATGCTGCTCTCTCTCGTAGTGGCGCTGAAGGGCGTGGCTCAAGGAAGCCGCCGGGGCACCAATCGGCGTCTCGTATCGCGAATACATTACAAATGTATAGCAATGTATACTTTGTTGTGATGTAGTGTTGTGGTTGGTGGTTCTGGTAGTGTTCAGGACCAGGTGTGCGGCTACAAATATTCCATAATATGCTGCATAATTACATGACTTATGACTTGGTTACTAGTACTGATATGACTTGTTTACGAGTATTGATATCTATATAATAGTACGCCTCGTGTGTCCTGAATCGAGTTTAAGACATGAACTCGGAGTGCTAAACATGGTAAAATAGTGGGAGAACTAAAAAGTATGTGGCTTTTTGAATTGTAGTTTATTTTAAAGCTACTTAAACTCCTTTTTAGTCCCTCATAAATAACATAAGTATTTATTTCAGCAGCAACAGCAGTACACGATATTATCGACATTTTGAGTTCTGACGATGAAGACTGTGCACCTCCCCCTCCTAAAAAGTAAGTCAAACACTTAAAAAGGAATGTTAAGAATTCAGTTAGCATCTATTCAGTTAGCATCTATACCTTAGCGGACATAATTATTCACGCTCATGACCGCCCAAAAAATTGTGAAATTTTTGGTGATTTTTTTAATAGGTGTTTTACTCTTTAACTTTTTCTGAACTCTAGAATCAAAGTCATAGTGATCAAGGTGTTATAACTTAAGTACTTTAACTTACTGTTATGTAAATTGAATACAGAGTGAATGTGACTGAGGAGTGATTATATTTGTCCTAGTATACTATTAAGCTATTATATAGTAATCGGCTACACAGTACACACATATCTACGCGTATGTAGGGACACACACACACTAGAATTAATGGAAATAATTACCAGACTTTATTATTCACGGACCTTAATACCACAGACATTATTTTCACGGACATAATCATTCACGCTAAGGTCTTCAGCGTGAAAGTAATGTCCGTGATAATTATGTCCGATAAGTTAGTTATTGTTTTTAATTGCCTGATGTGGCTCCTTATTCGTTTTATGATGCGAGTTATCTACTAGACTGCTATAAGTTATTACTATTATTTAGTATGTACTACTACTAAACTACTATTATTATATAGTATATTATATATTATAGTATATTATATACTACTACTAATTACTATACTATACTGTAGTTACACTAGTTAGGTTTTCCTATGTGGGATATGGTCAATCTTTCTTGATCAGATAATGAATAATTCAAAACAAATTATAATTAGATTAGCAACCACTCACTACGGCGGTAGAAACTCACTACGGCGCTAGAAACAAGGCTGAGCCAGAAAATAATAAGCTCCTTTATACAACATAAAAATATTGTATTGAAAACAAATTTTATTTTTAATCCTCTCATAACTTGCAGCTCTGAAATGCCTGAAATTTTAAAAGTATTTTATAACATGTTAAGTTGGCTGTCAGCCAAGAGGCAAGATAGATTTGTCTGGACAGAGAGACACCTCGTACTATACTGATACCTGTGTAAGTATTCTGTCTACACTAAACTGAGTATTATATAATGAGTGTAAGAAGAAGAGTGGCTCTGATTTGTGTGAAGGTATAATGAGTGTGGTTCACGTGAAACTCTACAGTTACTTATTATTGTCGCTTCCGTTCAAATTGTTCTAGAACTTTCTGGAATCTAGAACCTTCTGGTCGTTAGTGAACTGTGTTATGAATTATTGAGATAACCGTTAGCACTAGTCATATCCCTTATCACAGACCTACCCAACCCTGGTCTGAAGGGCATAGACGTTACTACTTACTCCTACCACTCAATTAAGACATGAACTAATTGTCTGTATATTTAAGGGGGCCGGGGGGGTCTACATGTAAATTCTCTCGAAATTGATTTTATAGTTGTGTCTGATAGAGGGGAGTGATATCTACCAGCTGCTTTTGGTCCTATGGAAAAATACTCTTCTAAGCCAAATTTATCGCTGGTCAAAGGTCAGCGCTTATAGTTATGTGTAATTGTATTGCGCGAGCGATTTTCAATCGCGCGCCCTGAAATCGAGTCTAAAAATCTATCTTCTCCTACATTTTTTTAGCAATCACCCGGTAACTTTCAGGATATGTTCTAGGGACCATTTAGAAGAGATTTAGGGTGATTGCTCAAAAAAAGTAGAAGATAGATTTTTAGACTCGATTTCAGGGCGCGCGATTGAAAATTACACATAAGCGCTGACCTTTGACCGGCGATAAATTTGGCTAGGAAGAAAATTTTTCCATAGGACCAAAAGCAGCTAGTAGATATCACTCCCTCTATCAGAAACAACTATAAAATCAATTTCAAGATAATTTACATGTAGACCCGGCCGCCTTAATCGGATCACCTTATTTTCATCCTATATTCGTTATTCATTAAATATGGTCCCTATGTTTATTAACTCTAATTATGACCTATGTTTATTAACCCTAATTATGACTTATGTTTATTAACTCTAATTATGACTTATGTTTATTAACTCTAATTATGACCTATGTTTATTAACTCTAAATATGACTTATGTTTATTAACTCTAAATATGACCTATGTTTATTAACTCTAATTATAACCTATGTTTCAGACAAGCAGTGACAGTTCAACAAACTTCTGTGATAAAAACAACTCCGAAACCTACGGAACCACCAGCCAAACCAGATCAGAACGGATTCTTAGGTAAACTTAACGGTAAGCTTGTGATTTTGCGTGCCATTGTTTGAGATCTCTCCAGAATCTGAGCATTTCACTACCAAATCTCCTAAGTCGACATTACCAGTCACCCACTTGGATCGTTATTACGTTTCAGACGCAATAATCAAATAAAACGGGAGTCATCATTATTCATTTCACATAAAATGAATAGTCTAAATCTAATGATAGACTAAGGAGTTGTCACGAAGGCCTGCACACTGAAAGATACAAACTAATGAAGGTCTGCTCACTGAAAGATACAATCCCTACACGAAACCTTACCGACTGCATCAAGGGGACCGAACACTTTAAGGAGGAATCACATGAAACTACCAACGATACCGCCAACTGCCGCAGTGTCCTATGCTTCAGGAAATCGCAGTGTTACCTTAATAGATCCTCCGGTTTCAGCTCTTTACCTTTTCTACAACATTTCTAAACAAAATACTTTATTACAAACAATTTTGTCTCCACTTGAAGTTCCTCGTCTTTTATTTAGGCCCAAAAAGTTCTTCTGCAGTTCACTGTCAACTGTTACCATTCTCATAAACTAAACCGGAATGCTAGCTCAAATATTCACAATGTTTCCTTAAATCAAAATTTTCTGATAGTCTATGCTTTGATAGATCTGAATTCTAATTGTCAAACTTTGTGTCACAATAGTCACTTCTCCTTCATGACAATATTCGGCTTCATAAAGTCACATCATCTTACCTTTCAAAAGTGGGTACGCTAGCGTATCGGGTAACGGGATTTTTTGAGAAATTGAATATTTTCGAAAATGTCGGGATCCTCCCGAGCGGCTAGAGAAAATACGGGATCCGCTTGAGCAGGCTTCGGCTGGTGGGAAATTTTGGCCAGGAGCACCGGGAAGAAAAACACTTTTGAAAGGTAAGGTCACATGAAGCATTCTCCAATCCATCCATTGTGTATTCACAGTTCATATCAGGAAAAAACACGGTTAAAAGATTCACTGATAAGCAAGCGACTGATAACAACACGCAAGCTCGAAGCTTATTCACAACTGAAAACAAGCTAAAAGGTTATTTGCACCTACTTTACTTTTCGTATATTTGTGTCCTGCCCCACTTCTTGCCCCACCCGTATCCGACCGTGCCAATCTAATTACTGTCTACCAAGAAGCAAGGTTTTTCTCACCCATAATAAAATATATAGATTGCACTCTCGTGGAGCAATAGAGTTATATATAATAGGAATATGTAAATTGTGCGCCATAAAATAAACCATTTACACCTTAGGACTTTAATGCGGTAGGTCTCGAGACTGACAGTGGTGTGCCCACCTAAGAGTGAAATTGAAACGTAGCGCGCCTGAAACGTCGCGCGCCTGAAACGTCGCGCGCCTGAAAGCATGACAATGTCAGCCGCGCCGAAAGCTTTCATAAGGTTTCAGTAATCGCGTCTGCGGCAAATTAGAAAATTTTTAAAAATTTGCCAGTATTTGTCACAATTTGGCGGGACTGGAATATGATGCATTGGTTCGGTTAAAAAACCACCAGATATAATGATAACAAGATTAACGGTGACTGAAATATGGCGAAAACTTGTTTAGCCCACAGCTATTGAAAATGTCGAGTTTACGAAGCTTGATGACTTAATGATAACACAATTCTTTTAGGCAGATAAAGATATTAAATCAAATACGTGAAAACATAGCACAGTATGATAAATAAATGAACATTATTCTTAGTTTATTCCTTTTGTGTGAATAAGATCACCGTAGCAGACAGCAGTTCACGCAACATTGGCCGTGTGGACTGCTTGTCACTTGCGGAGGACATTTAAAAAACACGTTCTAGAAAAGTACACGCGTTAGTCAAAACAATACATGCACGTATTACAAAAATAATTACAAGTGTTAAATTACCAATTCTTAAAAATACACGTGTTACAAATACAAATACACGTGTAACAAAATACTGAGCACATATCAGGCCATATATTTGCTTAAATTTGAAGTGAGTTAAGTTTTAGAACCCTTTAAAAGCAACTCTAAAACTCAAATTCTTACCATTCTGAAAGGATTGGATGCTAAAACGATGAGTATCGTTGATCAGGAGCTCTATTTATCAGGTTTTATAAAAACGCCAATAGAAAAATGCGAAGATTTTTTATAGGGTCTCCCAGGAGATTCTATGTACTTCCAAAAGTATACATCCATTTTTTTTTCCAGGTGTATTCGAGGAAATGTCTAAGCTTGTTATGTATGCAGTTTCATTGACCTAATACAAATGATGGAATTTAAGTGAATTTAATCTGGCGGGTGGTGTTTCTTTTATGCAGATAAAGAGCTGAGTTGTGGTCTAAGATGGGAAGCCATAACTTATCTCTGGATCTCAATCGGGTTGACATAATTAAAATAATAATGCAATCTTGTCCTTGTCCTCTCCCCAGAATCTACAAGATGGTTAGGAGAATCGTCGAGGGACAAGCTGCGTCCGAAGAGCTCCGAAGGAGGGTTTTCAATCAGTTCCAGCCTGAAATGAACAGTTTTCACAGACTCTGCATAATATACAATTAATAATAAAGCTGGACCTGTTCTTATGATAAAATTAATTAAAAATAAACCATGTTCCCCACTTGGAAACGATGTCACAGACAACACAGCCACACAATTTAACGGTAAAAATTTTTCATTAAATAACTGACCCAACAAATTCGAGTAATGAGGAGGAGACTGAATCTTACTTACTGTCTTCGCGTCTGCCGCGATCTTGAGTAGGATCTTTCCTGCGTGCTCCATGAGCTCCAGTTCGTCTGAAAGAGTTCTAAACATTAGTGGGGGGGGGGGGGGGGGTCAATTTCATTTTACCTCATTCGGGCAGCCAAAATTGGGATGAGGTAAAATGAGGTAAAGTGAGGTAAATGAATCTAGTTTTCTGAGCCTTTTTAGAGACAAATGTTTTTGCCGAAATTTACTTTATTTTACCTCATTCGGGCAGCCAAAAAAGGGAAAAATGAGGCAAAATGAGTCAAAATAGGGTTTACCCCCCCCCCCCACATTAGTCGCCAAAGATTCAATGATCCTACATTTCTTGTTGTTGTACGGATAGTATTATATGGAGACAGGTTGCTTTGACCACACATCATATCAACAAAACGAATTCAGTTTTTTTCCTGTGCAAACTTATTGGATTGGAAAGCAGATTGTGGCAGATTGTTTTGTCTAGGTAGTTAAATCTCGCGGCTTTCGACCGGTGCAAGATTTTGTTGGGGAGACCCTAGTATTTGGACGTGATCAAGGATTTTTTGTTGCAAAAAAAGAGTAGCAAATATTTTGGCTGGGCCGCGCCGGTGAGCCAATTTTTTCCGGGACTGTTTGATCGAATACCTATAAATAAGTTACCTTGATATGCGACAGCCGACAGCTGGGCAATACTCTTGCCGAACACATCCCATCTATCCTCCTGGAGGATCTGTCTCGCCTGTTCGGCCACGGCTCCTGATAAAAGACTGAGGTTCAAACAGACATGAAATTTGCTAAAAGTAAAGAGATGGATTTCTGAGATAACCTGCAGAAGTGGGTTAGTTTTAACTTTAGAACTGAGTTATATACACATACCAAGTGAAACGTGACTTATAGTGACCTAAAACTGTAGTGGTTTCGATTGCATATCGACTAACCCCCATTTCGACCGTGAATGGGTATTATATCGCTTAAAATAGACTTGATGTGCGTCAAACCAGCTACCTTTGTGTGGAAACGGCGATGCAATCTTCGACTTGAAGAAAAATTAATGTCCGAAAGTTTAAAAACGATATGTTGCACTTGAATTATTACCTATCACCGGATTGATCTTCAAAGCCTCCTCAACCATTGTCGCCGAAGTATCTCGGAGGCCCTTGGGGTGAAGATGTCGTCTCTCTGAAATGATAAAGGCGTGACTAAGTTATTTTCGACGTTGCACAGAGGGAAACCTTACGCCTTAAGGTTAGGGAGTTTTGTATTATGGCGAACGCGTCAGTTATCACACAAAAGTCTGATTAAATAATGCGGTTTCCAATTTTTACTCGTCACAAATATCGTACAAAAAAATGGTCAAAGATGAAAGTATCAACTTTAATTGACCAAAGATGAATTCTTCCTGCGCCTGGTGAGTGGTGACCCATCCATATTACAGGCGATAATTCTAAATGATGTTTAGAAATAGCTGTAACTCACTCAGGCGACTCTCGGACTCTTTCTGAAGTCTGGATATGTGGTCTTTTCGGACCTTGCTGGTTGGAGGCGCAGGCCCGGCTGCTGGTGTGGTGTCCGGTTGAACGGGGGGTTTTGCGACGGGGGCCCGGGGCTCGCTCCGGATGGCCAAAGCTATTCTCTGAACAGCACCTGGAAACGTCACAGCGGATTAGTGTATGAAAACGAAGTTTATTGCAGGATGTTCCTACTTGAAGAATCGTATTGTAAACCCATAAAATTTCAAACTGGGAGTCCGCTCTGACGATGACACAAAACTGTTTCTACGATCAGTAGATAGTACAAAAAATGACTAAACAAATATTAGCATATTCAGCACAGGTAGCGCCTAGTGACCCATCCGGATGACTTTTAAAATAGCTATAACTCACTCTGTTCACTCTCGGGGGCTGTCAATGATCCAGGTTTCGTGACGGGAACCGGGGGCATCTTCTTTATCACTCTCTGAATAGCACCTGGGAATCGCCTACGATTAACCATAATGCAGCAATTCATTTTAAAGCCCAAGATAGGCTATACTGATACAGACGATCAGAGAAGGTAGGGCAAATTTATCGTCGGTCATGAGTTACAGCGAAATTCTCATACAGTGATATGAGTGAGCTTCACTATGGTATAATTATAATGTAACAATATGTATACCTATGTCGCATCTCTCGAAAATATTAGAGACCCTGATCGGAGCCTCGTTAACAGTTGTTGCCAATTGTTCTCCTCCATCAACACTGTCTTCTCCGGGTTGCTAAAGGTCAATGGTAGGTAAAATTAATAGCTAATGTAATATCTAATACACCACGTGAAATCGATTCATAATCAATACCTATCAGGACTCAGGGGGGAATGATCAATTTATGTTCAATCAGTGAGAATATTAACTGTTAAGTTGAAGAACTATATTCAAACCTTGTCGTCTTTAGCTGTAAAGAAGTTCCAAAAAACTTTCTTGATGTCTTCGTCTAACTTTGTCAGACTTCCACTCTGTCCATCACCACTCCTACCTCCCTGTTCAGGAAATTGTTTATACTGTATGCCACAGCATGTTTTTGAAGCATAGGCAATTATAAACACTGCAAACATTCCACCCGACTGAACTAAGGTGATGTTGCAGTCGGTAATTATCAACTGGAACCTAGTAAAGTAAAAAACGGGAAACTTGTTTAAACTTGTACAAAGCAAAATGCCTGCTTATCATGTACAGCTCAATCTGATTACGGATGTTCTAATTGATCCCACTGCCAGGACCTTATTTCGGAAGATCTGTGACATCAAGTATAATTACTTACTTTTATCTTTTTGAGGGCGGTGATCAGCTCACAGATTGTTGATATTAGCAACTTCCTATTTGCCAAAGTCTTGTCTTTTTTCTCATCAATGTGCACTGTAATTACAGCCGAATGAGTAAGTGGAGTAGATACCTGATCAGTGATCACATAGTACCTTACCCATACGTGACTTCATTGGTCGATAAAAGAGTGGTCGAAAGGAAGCATAGTTCATCAATAAGATGCGGATTTTCTCTTCTGGTATATTAATGACTTAAAACGTATCTACATATATCTACACGTCTTAGAGGAGAATCATTAACTTTCAACGATCAAGTACGGTCTTTTAAATCGTCCTTTCGACCACTTTTTTAAACAATCCATCACATGGAATTAAACGGGTTTTCACCCCTCGACATTTCACCTCACGATCGTTGGCCCCCTGGTTTTAAATCTCAAACGTTGTCTTACACCTAAACCTGGCCTAGCTCCGAGCTATGATAGCTCGATCCCCGACTCTAACCCTTACCGTTACACAACATTAACCCAGACCACAACACAA